TATTTCCACACTGGGATTTTCCTCACAGCTGCACACAGCATGACCCAGCTTTATTTATGAGTTTCTAAGCAATGCCATGCTCTATCTGAAAAATCTCCTTTGCTTTGACTGAAAGCACAGAAATAGTGTAAAAGTCCAGGGGGAGGTCTTCATAATGGGAATGCTCAGCTCCAGCATTCTTCTACCACCACCTTTTAGCCATTTAACAGTATTGGTAGTAACTGGTTAGTTAGTCCAGTATCCCTTCTCAGCAGAGTGCACCTTGGCTACACGCAGTAAAACTTTGTTTTCAGTGTGCTGGCAGAATTGCAAAGTTACACGGAGCCGCTTTTTCAGCTTCAAGACTAATAATAGTTCTTTTATTTAGGAACTACATTCTAGATAGTGAAGCTTAAGAGATAGAGACAGAACTAACCTAAACTACCCTGGATGGGTCTGGATGCAAAGAGGCATCCAGCCTCCATCATGCATGCGTGTGAGAGAAGAGAGGTGTGGAGTGTGAGAGAGAGAGCACAGAAGGAAGAGAGGTAATTTCCCTGAGATCTGTCTGTCTGTTTCAAAGGACAGTGACAGGAGAGTAAGCAGGAAGAAAACCCGCAATCTGATTGTCTGAATCACTGATTTGTTTGCAAATATCCCCCCCCCCTTGGAGGCTGAGGCTTGAGACAATGCCTAGGCCTTCTTTTCCAACAAACAGGACCTCTTTTAAGAGCAAAAAACTCAGCCACAAGCCTTGGTTAAATAGCTAGGAGGAGAAGGGGTTGCCACCAAGCTACAAGGGTACTACCCCTACTTGACAAGGGTCCCCATGATGTTCTGCTGGTTGAACTAAAGGACTGTGGATTGGACTATAGGATAGTTAGGTGGAACTGGCTGGAGAGTAGTTGTCAGTGGCATTTCATCTGAATGGAGGGAGGTGTCCAGTGGGGTACCACAGGGCTCGGTTCTGGGCCCGGTACTTTTCAGTATTTTTATAAATGGTCTGGATGAGGGTGTGGAAGGGCTACTCATTAAATTTGCAGATGACACTAAATTGGGAGGAGCAGCAAACACATCAGAAGATATAGAATTCAACTCGCTGGAAAAGCGGGCAGATGTGAACAAGATGCAATTTAACAAGGATAAGTGCCACGTTCTACATCTGGGTAACAAAAATGAGAAACATGTATACTGAATGGGGATACACTTCTGAGTAGTAGTGTGTGTGACCAAGAACTTGGAGATACACTTCTGAGTAGCAGTGTGTGTGACGAAGATCTTGGAGTACGGGGTGGACTGAAAGTTAAATATGAGCACCCAGTGTGATGTGGCAACAAGAAAGGCTAATGCGATCCAAATCGTAAGATGTCATAGTCCCGCTGTACACTGCATTGGTCAGACCACATCTGGAGTATTGTGTGCAATTCTAGAGGCCTCACTTCAAAAAGGATTTAGACAGAATGGAGCAGGTGCAGAGGAGAACAACAAGGATGATCGGGGGCCTGGAGACCAAGCTCTATGAGGAAAGGCTGACGGACGTGGGAATGTTTAGTCTGGAGAAGAGAAGACTAAGGGGGGACAGGATTATTCTCTTGAAGTATTTCAAGGGTTATCACTTAAAGGAGGGCAGGGAGTTGTTCCTGTTGGCGGCAGAGGATAGGAGTTGCAATAATGGGTTTAAATTAAGGGCAGGAAGGATATTAGGAAAACCTTTGTTACAGTAAGAGTTGTTCATCAGTGGAATCAGCTGCCTAGGGAGATGGTGAGCTCCCCCTCACTGGCAGTCTTTAAGCAGCGGCTGGACAAACACTTGTCAGGGATGCTTTAGGCCAGTGGTGGCGAACCTATGGCACGGGTGCCAGAGGTGGCACTCAGAGCCCTCTCTGTGGGCACGCATGCCATTGTTTTCTATTAATTAGCCAGTTTTTGATCCATAAAAGGACTTGTCCTTTTATCCCATGATTTTTGAGCTTACTTAGGAGCCTTTGATGAGGAACTTTATCAAAAGCTTTCTGGAAGTCAAGGTAAACAATATCTATTGGATCCCCCTTGTCCACATGTTTGTTCACCCCCTCAAAGAACATTAACAGGTTAGTGAGACAAGATCTTCCCTTACAGAACCCATGTTGAGTCTGCCTCAATAGGTTTTGTTCATCTATGTGCCTACTAATTCTTTCCTTAATAATGGTTTCCACCAATTTACCCGGTATCGACGTCAGACTGACTGGCCTGTAATTTCCCGGATCTCCTCTGGAACCCTTTTTAAAGATGGGAGTGACATTAGCTACCTTCCAGTCCTCAGGAATGGAGGCTGATTTTAAGGAGAGATTACATATTTTTGTCAGGAGATCCACAAGTTCACAATTGAGTTCTTTCAGAACTCTTGGATGTATGCCATCTGGGCCTGGTGATTTATCAGTTTTTAAGTTGTCTATCAGTTTTAGGACCTCCTCTCTCGTCACCTCAATCTGACTCAGGTCTTTCAACACCCCTCCCGAACTCAGCGGCTCTGGAGTGGGCAAGCACCTCTCATCTTCCACAGTGAAGACGGAGGCAAAAAATGCATTTAGCTTCTCAGCCATTTCCCTATCATCCTTCAGTACTCCTTTTACCCCTTGGTCATCCAAGGGCCCCACTGCCTCCCTGGCTGGTTTCCTGCTTCTAATGTATTTGAAGAAAGTTTTATTGTTGGTCTTTACATTTTTTGCTATATGCTCCTCATATTCCCTTTTTGCCTGCCTGACCACAGACTTGCATTTTATTTGCCATAGCCTGTGTTCCGTTTTATCAGCCTCACTGTGACTAGCTTTCCACCGCTTAAAGGAATCCTTTTTACCTTTTACAACTTCCATTACTTTGTTTGTTAACCATGTAGGCTTTTTCTTATACCTGTTTGTGCCTTTCCTAACCTGCGGAATATATATTTTTTGAGCTTCTAGAATCGTAGTTTTAAATAGTTTCCAAGCTTCCCCAATGGTTTTGACCCTTTCTACTTTTCCCTTCAGTTTCCTCCCCAACTCTGTGATTCTATGGTCTTCTATGGTCTGATTATCATTACACTAGTGCAGTTCTTTTTTCTCTCTTTCTTAAAAAAAAAAAAAACAGAAAAAGAACAGGGGGGGGGAGAGACTTAAAAGCCAGAGGCTACATTAATTTTTAAAGGGGGGGGGAAAATATACATAGAGACAAAAATATAACAACCGTGGTGACAGATCTTCACATACGTTTTTATAAACGGTTTCCAAATGTCTAAAAATAAGTCCATACACAATTGCAGTCCTTATGGTGCAGATGTAGGTGGGAGATGGGGAGGGGCAGTACCAGCAACACGTGATGTGGGGATGGGGTGTGTAAATACCATCCCCAGGCACTTCAGTCCCGCTTGTTGTGGCTTTAAAACCAGGGCCCCAGGAAAGATACACAGATTCATCCTGCACTCTGTTGGGTTTAGATTCAGAAAGATGAAATATTGAATACACTTACTTGTGCTTATAAAGAAGAAAACTATCACATAAGAAGAGGAACAATCATGTCAACAGCATTTTCTTTTTACCTTCCAGTATTCATCGGGCAATGGGAAAGGGTCGTGCCTCCGTGGCAGAGCATCTGCTTTGTGTACAGAAGGGCACGGGTTCAGTTCCCATTATCTCCAGTTGAAATATCAGATAGGTGATAGGAAAGAGCTCTCTGCCTCAGACTCTAGTGCCTCTGGCAGTTGGATTAGACAATACCTTATACTACAGGAAACTACTGTTAGTTGCCTCTTTTCTTTTCCCTTCCTCACAAGCACCCTGTAGGTTCTTATATGCCACCATTGGTCATACACATTCAAACATCCATGTCTTAAAAGAATAGCTGAGATTTCTCAACCAGTGGCCTCTGCATCCTGGCCAGTTTCTGACACTAACGAAAGATCACAACTAAGCATCTATTTCAGACTGGATGATTCTTTCATTGCTTTTCCTTCCAGGGCCATTCTAGCTTGATTGAAATAAAGGTAAATAAAGTGAAAAGTCTATGTTTAGTTTGTAAAAAGCTAGATTTTATTCCTGTGTAAAATTTTGATATTCAGGTGTCTGCTTTTTCTTCCAGACTCTGCAGCTAGTTAGTTTTATTTTCATATGCCAACTTTTCCCTCCTTTCTTTTCTTTTTGCAACTGGTTCATCATTTGTTCTTCCCCCTGCTGCTGTTTGAAAGAACTACTTTGCTCAAGAGTATCTTGCTTAAATTGAAGTTCACTTGAGCTTGTTTTTAAGAGTTAAAGTACTACTTCAGTTTGTATGATATTTTCTTGGGTTTCTGTATTGACAGACTATAGGTACATAAAATGTCGAAGATTTAATGATATAATCCAAGTGTTTCATTGCATATACAGTAATCTGCATATAAATCATTTTAGCAAAGTCTAGGGAATTTAAAGGAATGGAGGAATCATTTGCAATCATCCATTAATCTACTTACGTGGCTTTAATGTTGTTTTGGAACTATCACTCCCAGTAATTTCATATTATCAATGTTTTTCCCTGTGTTCCACATGCATAATTAGAGATGAGGCAGAATAAATGCTTCCCACAGAAAAAAATTGGACTGTTTCTGTATTGTTTTGAGAAGAGAGAAGAGAAGAGATTGGATTTATAGCCCGCCCTTCACTACCCAAAGGTGTCTCAGAGCGGCTTACAAACTCCTTTCCCTTCCCCTCCCCACAACAGACACCCTGTGAGGTAGGTGGGGCTGAGAGAGCTCTGACAGTAACTGCTCTTTTTCAAGAACAGCTCTTATCAGAGCTACAGCTTGCCCAAGGTCATCCAGCCAGGTGCAAGTGGAGGAGTGGGGAATCAAACATGGTTCTCCCAGATTAGAGTCCGCACACTTAACCACTACACCAAACTGGCTCTCAGTTTTGCACCTGAAATATCCCACAAAGATACCACATTTATTGCTGTAAAACTATACCACGCTTGGCTCATTAATCTGAATCCTACACTGAATATGGGTCATTGTTTATCCCCCAATTTCTTAGGTAGAAATAACAGATATTGAAAATGAAGAAAAGAGGTATTCGCTCATCTTGCAGCTTTTGGACTCAAGTGAGAAACATGAGGAATTTCAACACTTAGTCATGCTCCTCCAAGCTTGGCCACCTATGAAAAGTGTGAACATGTAAGTATTTGTACACATACTGTCATTGGTTAAAAATCAGTACATTTTTCAAAGGTGCTAAAGATCCACCCAATTTTTAAGCATGAAAAGTGTTTCATGATGTTTCTCTCTGTATGAGAGACATAAAACCACAGAATGATTTTTGGTTTTACTCATTTATTTTAGGATGTTTTTAAACGCTACAAGCCAGTAGGTTTTCCAGCAGATCTGGAGAGAAAAAATGTCCTATCCCTTTAACAGAGGATTAATATGTGGAAACCGGCAGCTGAAGCTTTTCATGGCATGGGGATAAGTAACATCCCATTAAGCCTCTATTAAAGGGACAGGACATTTCCCACCCCCAGGCAATTATGCCCTGTACAATTCTGCTGTTTTCTGTTTGTGTAACTGCCCAGTTCCGTGGAAAAATCTGGTCAACACATGAAGCTGGCTCCAAGGACACCTTTACGCTAATTGAAAAGATTTCTTCCATAAGCAGAAGATACTTTTCTGCTCACAGGATGATTTATTCCATGAAAAAGGGGCTTTTCCATAAGCAAGAGTATTTTAGGACCAAGTGGCTATGGTTTGGAGCCCACCCAACAATGCCAAGAATGTTTCCTCAGAGATTAGTCGCTTTTACTTTGAACCTGATAGCACATAAACTCCCAACAGTCTTTTATAAAAGTTATAGAAAAATTCAACTTGTGTATAAGCAGGAAAGAAGCCTCTCTCACTGGCTGTGTTTTTCTTCTGCAAAAGCTTCTTGAAAAATGGTGATATGCTCATATTTTCACAGCAAATAAGTAGGATGCATCAGCTCTCCTCTTTCCTGAAATTATAGACTAACTTAATTAGGAGGAGGAAGAAGTATGTCTGTGAACTTGAGCAGAATCAGACTGTTGGTTTCCAACACCCAGTATTGTCTACTCTTGACTAGGATAAATTTGTTGTATCCATGGTTTTCACAGTCATGGAGGAAGTGATGTCACGGACAACCTGGGGCATTCTGCATGCAAACTACATATTCATCTATCTCAAACTAAGTAGGTTATTGGCCAGTTCATACCACAGTCATGGAGGAAGTGATGTCACGGAGAACCGGGGGCATTCTGCATGCAAACTACCTGTTCATCTATTGAGTTGAGTGACCCTTCCTCAAACTAAGTTGGTTATTGGCCAGTTCACTCATTACTTTTGGATGTTTTCTTCATGTGCTAAGCAGAATAATATTCACATCTCAGTCACAGGAAAGCCATCGTCAGGAAGCAATAGCTCAAATTTCATTGTATTCTTCAGAAAAGTGCTCCTTACATGATCAGAATGTGCCTTGGCACCAGTTAGTCCATGGGCCAGGCCAGATGTCAGTATCGGGTAAGGTGGCAAAACTTCTTGATGTTTTTTTTTCTGAAAGATGTATGTCTGTGTATTATGTTTTGATGTGATAACCTGTTCTAATTGGTAGCTTAAGCTTGTTATGTCATCAAGATGACCAAAGCCAATTTTTCCTACCTTTTCTATTGTTAGCTATAACTCGTAAATCAGGTGGCAAATTTCAAAGTTTAAAGTACTGTTGGAAAGCTAATAAATTCCTCTACAAATAACTAATACTAATTATACCTCTAGCTATTACTGTTTTTGTGATCAGAGGAACAAATAAAAGGTCAGTTTTCCCCACATTTTATAAGGTTTACAGCATATGGCACTTTATCTAATCCAGATAGTCACCTAAAGTATATTAGACAATTAAAGCTTATTCTTTTGCCTTTCCAAGGAGCCATGGCATGAAGAAATTCGTTTTCATATGCCACAGTGAGCTGCATGAGAACATATCCACTTTTTATCTGATTTTTATTCAATGTAACCAGATAATATGTAACTTTGTATTGGCTTCAACAGTCTTGATTACACCATAAAAACCTTAAAATCATCACAAAGACATATACTTTTCAGGGAGAAAAAAGGAGTTTTGCCACTTTACCTGATACCAGTATGTCACTTTTTGACTCTTGGCCCACACACTAAATAGGAGTCTTCCCTTAGCTGAGCACTATGGTAGGATACAACCTAGCAAAATTACTTTTCCTACAGTAGAAGTTGTTATGGCTGAAATCCACACTTTCTTAGCTTATATTACAGCGATCACATGTGACCCCCTCTATAAAGAAAGCAGATGTGCCTGATGCAAGTTTCTGAATGCTGCTTTGTAATGTATTTCTGTTGTTTATTGTCGTGGTTGCTTTCTTTTTTTTAAAAAAAACACCTTTAAGTTTTGAACACTTTTCTAGCCTTTCTTTCCCTCTGTTTTTAAAGTTCACCTTCCTCAAGAGAGAGAAAAATAATTATACTGTTTCTCTAGACCTTTATTAAGCCTTCAAAGATTTCAGTGGTCTCATATCTTGTTGTTAGCAGTCTGTATTTCTGTCTCCTAGTAAATAGAAGCTGTCAGTAGATTTTTAAAAATGTATATGATGCATTCTGAGTTGGTGCAGCCTGATGTGGTACGATTAATTATGAACACCTGGCCATCCCCTAGTGCCCTCTTGAATTCATCACCTCAAGAAAGCTGTTTAGTGAATTTGCTTTACATTTCAAATGTTGATCATGTTGCTTCAGACTGGGGAAGGCTCTTCAGAAACTTGTGTGTGTGAAGTGCCCTCAAGTCGCAGCCAACTTCTGGGGACCCATAGGGCAAGAGACTAACAGAGGTGGTTTGCCATTGCTTGTGTCTATGTAGTGACCCTGAAATTCCTGGGTGGTCTCCTATCTAAATACTAACCGGGGCTGACCTTGCTTAACTTCCAAGCTCTGACAACATCAGGCTAGCCTGGGACATCCAGAACACAGGGCCTTTAGAAATTAAAGGGAGGCAGATCAGTGTGTGTGCAAGAGGCAGAAGGAAGATGAGGCTGATTCCTAGGTTACTGGTGTAGATTCCTCTAAGAACTAAGGGTTGGTTCCAATGTTCCCTCTAAGCGGTGGAGTCTTGTGAGCAAAAATTCTACTTTGTGAGCTACTGCCATTAAAGTTGTGAGCGAGCGATTTGCCTATTGCATAAATTGGTTTGCTCTGAAGCCATCCTTCCTGAGCGGAGACAAAAATGTGTGAGCCAGAGGCTAAAAAACTGTGAGCTAGCTCACACTGACTCAGCTTAGAGGGAACACTGGTTGGTTCCTGTGAACCATGCTCACCTCATGGTTGCAGATCTTTCCATCTTCTCCTTTCTCCCAACTGTCTTCTGATATCTCCAAAAAGCAGGTGCTCAGAGTCATGGGGGCCCTTGTGGGCAAAATGCTATGGAAGGCTGCTGTGATGAAGGGGAATTGGGTTGACATCACTCCCACTTCCTTCTTGCTCTGACAGCCTCTTGCATCAATGCGAGGGCCCCAGTCTGAGAGCAAAGAGAGGAGCTGATATCCAGCTTCCCCTTTTCACAGCCTCCCTTCATGCCCTTTTCATTTTTATTTATTCGTTACTTTAGAACATTTGCGGGCCCAAGGTTCTAGTGGAGCTGGTGTGCAAAACTCCTTTATTCATTCATACATTCATTCATTCATTCATTCATATTTATAGCCCACCCTTCCTGCAAGCAGGCTCAGGGTGGATAACAACATTTTATCAGTACAATAAAAATTATAAATTGGCCACAGCTTTTATTGAACACATACAAAAGAGCATTGGTGCAACATGGGGATGGGTGACCTGCAGGCTGCCTGATTAATCCTGTCCCCCTCAGTCCACCTGCTGGGGGGGAATCAAGGAGTGGTAAGCCTGGGGGGGGGGCATGTGGGCACCAAACACTGTGTGGTTCCCCCATGCTACCTGGTGGTGTGAGCCAGCTGACAGGCTCTGAGCTGGGCATGCCACTTAATGGCTCCACCCCAAGACCCCTTAAGGGAGTCCCCCCAGGCATGCAGGCACAGCCTCTCCCCTGAAAGAGTCCATCTCAGTGCCCAAACCGCCACAAGAGCGGGGTGACTTGCCTCACTCCTGTCAATGCACCTACCCCCATAGCTAACAAAGCAAGCTGTACCACACACTATGGAGCCATGTGCCCATTCCCCATTCTGATAGGTGAACTCTACTGTCCATGAAAAGAGCATTTTGTCCAAAGGGAATGTCCAGATGCCTGATAAGTCCCCCTATAGTGATTCAGTGAGTCTTCTGGCCAAAGCAACTCTGCCCGGTGCAAAAGCACCCTGCCAGTCACACCACTCCAGTAGCTCCAACCACAGCAGTGTCACGTGCGGGAGTCTAGAGGCAAGAATCTGGAGATACGATCTGATGGAATGGAACAACACAGCCCCCTTTTGAGCTGGAAGGTCATTCTTGCCAAGCTGGATAATTAAGGTGTCCAGTGGGCCTCTGTGGAAGACTTGGCATGAGATAGTGGGTAACAGAGAGTGGTACTTCATTCCCCTGTGCCCTATCCAGGTGAGGTGTAGCCAGTTGCTGAGCCTTAGTGCATCCCCCCAGCCCGAAGATGCCACATAGTTCTCTGCCCAGTGGATACTGTGCCTGATGATCCAAACCGCTTTAGGCTGACCTGACAGGACTGAGATTAACGCATGTCAGTAAGACTGGCTGAGCTGAGGGCCAATATAGGAACAATAAGATGTAGAGTGCCAGCAGCTACCAGCCATGATCTTGTCTGGCTGGAGCCCCACATCAGCTGTGGCTGTGGCAGCATCAATACAAAAAGAATGATTGCCATAGTCAGAGGAAGGAAGACCTGTGGATAATGAGCATTTGCACGTGATGCTGGCAAACTGGAATCTGAAGAGACAGGTCCCGTCAGTGTGGATTACAAAAATGCCTGAGATGGCCAGCCAGATGGAGTAGTTCACTGTGCAGAGCATGGGGCAAGGTAGTCCGCGGGAGCAGAGCCTAGAGTCAAGTGAAACCCTTTGCCCCCATTGATCTGTTTTTGACCAATACAGCATAATGCAGAGCTCAAATGAAAACGTCCTGAATGGAAAGCACTTGCTCAGAAGGGTCGTGGCATGAGGGGGTCAACAGTT